ACAATAATTATTATTGTTGGAAAAAAATATATATTTTAATTTTGTAAAACTTATAGAAAATTGATTTTTTTACGTTAACTTTGTTGATACTTTCATCTAATACGTTACGTAGTATATTTAGTAAAAGAACAAGTTTTTAAAAATTGATACTTTACTTGAGGGGAAATAACCAGTAATTCGTAGTATCAACACAACTTAATAGGAAGAATTTTTAGTACACCTTTTTGAGATGCTCCATTGTAATCTCCAATGGGATAACCGAGTTCTTTTCCAGCTTCCAACATGGCCTTATTTATAGGGTTTTTGTACGCTGGCTTATCGACTGTTAATTCCCCTCCTGTTCCATGATAATCTGTAAAGAAATTTAAAGGAACAAATGTAGAAAACTCAGAAATTTAACAACGATATTTGCTAAATTTCTAAACAATTTTACTTCGTTTATTGTAGATATTTCACTTGTAAAATCGAATAAAAATTTAGTCGATAACAAACCTTTTTCGGTAGTTTCTGGGACTCTATTGTCCTCCGATTTTTTAAAATAAGGCAAGACATCATCGAAACTCCATCCTGACGCTCCGTCTTCAGCCCATTGATCGTAATCTCTCTTATTACCCCTCACGTAAACCATAGAATTGAGAACGCTGCTTCCTCCCAGTACCTTTCCTCTTGGCCAGTTACTCCGCTATTTCCAAAGAATGTTTATTATAGTAAATGTAATAAATATACTTTCATAATATAATACTTTGGAATAGTAATATTTAGATAAAAGAAATTATAATTTTTCAATAGAATTAAATATTTTAACAACCAGTATAGAAAGTGAATAAAAACTAATTAGTGCACAGTACTTGTTGATTATATCCCCGACAAGAATTTTTTTGTCTGGTTGTTGTGTATTTCCAATCGTATTTCGTTTTTTGCAGGTGTATGGAGAAAGATGTCGTTTCCGAAATGAGATTAGGAAGTTCTCCAGCTTCTAAGAGTAGAACTTTTATGTTTTCATCTTTAGATAATCTGTTTGCAACAACGGATCCCGCAGATCCACTTCCCACTAGAATAAAGAAAACGATCGATTAAAATATTAATGGTAATTTGATATAGCCTACGTTATAAAATTTTTAAATATGTTGAAAATATGATTTTCAAAATATTTTACTATATAATCAATCCATGGTATCTGATATTCACAGGTTGTTTATATATAATACAGAATTATCTTCCCTTCAGAATCAAACATATTATAACCTATCTCATGATCATATTTATTTATTTATTTAAAACTCTTTCCCCCTGTGAGCAATAAAAATGCGTTTTAAGTAAGCCTATTATGGGTGTTGCCAGACCTATAATTGGACGGCCGTATGGTGAGGGATATGCCCGACATATCAGCAGAATACACCCGAAAAACTCCTGGTGATTTCGACTTGCCTGGATTCAATCCAGAGTCCCTCAGGACTATTCTGCCTTTCATGGTCATAGTATGTTGGATTCCTGATATAACATGTTGTTCAGTCAAATTTAATTTAATAAATGTTAAACTTGACTAGCATTGTTACTATCGTCAGAGAGGTCATGAATATTTCGTTGTTCCAAACAGCTACTCCCGAAAACTAGAGGCGTTTAGTAAAAAAAAAATCTCAGAAGACCCAGAGAAAAATGCAAAAATTGTCACACAAAGACTGCAGAGTATAGAAATACCAAATAATTATAGATACGATTACTGTCGTATGTAAATCTTTAAGTGAAAACAGGAGTGCCAAAGCGGTAATACCCGAATGGTCGGGGCATTCTCGCTCGATGGATAGCATTGGATTATTATTCAAAAATATTTTTAAAATAACTTGTATATTAAGTAAATAAAATCGAATGTAAAGAACACTTTAAATTTATATTTCACTAATAAAGTTTTCATGTTTGTATAAATCTGAGTGTGTAATTTTAGTTTTCTCTTAGATACGAGGCATTACCAAACTTTCTCCTATGTGACATTTAATTTAATACCGATAACGTTAACTCGATACGGACACTAAACCGAAATTTCTAGTTAGCGTAGTTGTCTAGTTACTAATATTATAATTCTAAATTTACTTTTTTAAATAAAAGAGAATAAATATTAAGATATTATTTGTGTAATTTTAAAATTTAAAAATGTTAATATATAATTCTCGTATTGTGTAATATTTCGTAATGCAATTATGTTTTGAAAAAATTAAGTAGCTATATTTAGATAGAGACGAGTCAGTAGGATTGTTTAGCCAATGCCTTAAAATTTAGTCTTTTATATAGAAAACATGACAATAAAAATTGTAAATAAATTATAATTTCCTTTAATGAACGATAAAAGTCTTATTTGTTTTATTGATTTTATTTATATATATTATTTTTATGACACTAGGAAAGAGATAGACTGGATGTCTAGGTGTCATTTCATCTCTTTCCTATCATATAGCATTTATGCTAGCCAATACGTGGTAATTTCATCATTTAAATGGAGAGTAAATTTATTTTAAAGTTTATTTTTCCTTTAATATTACTAAATTCGATTATCCTTTATACTTATGCCGGTAAGAAATGCATGTATTAAATTGATTTAATATGTATAATTAATGATTAGTACAAACGTATACGAAATTAGATTTTAAAGTTAAATATAAAACTTACCAATCACGTAATCATATCGATCACGAAACTCCGGACTAACAGCTAATATTAAAGGGAAAAAAAGAATTAATTGAAAGGGTAACATTTCTTATTCCCTCAATTAATGATTTCTGACTAATTTATTATATTATATATTTATCTGTTTTATCAAAATTATCTCGAAAGGTCGACTTTATCATTAGATTGTGGTAAAACCCAATTGAAAGATTTAGTTTTATCGGAATAATTAAGTTAATGCTAAGAAACCGATAGGGTTTTACTCAGTTCAAATTATGTTAATCGTCATATTATATAAAATAAAATTATCATTTTTTCGAGGAATGCTGTTTGTATATAGTAGGAACAACGTATAGGCCTACATATACATATGTTGTCGTTGTTCCTGACAAATTTAACTTTTGGAATACCGGTATATACAGTAATTCACAGCACAAAGTTTATTTATTGATTAAATTAAAATCAAAATCTCATTTAGTTGCCAAGAAATTATATAGTTTGTATCGAAAACTCGTCCTTAATCTTCTCCAGTCTCTGCGAGTAAAATTGGCTGTAGTCGGGTTTAAATGCATTTACTAAAAGTGTTCTCCAGAGTTTAAAAACAGGCATATTTTACGTTTAAATAAGCATCACTTCGGGAATAAAAGAAATATATTCGGGTTACAAACGGATCATTATTTTCGCATAAAGTAATTATTTGTATATTATAATCTACAAACTAAATATTAGAAATTTATATATAAAGACCTAAGCAGAGAATATTAGAATTTCTATGACTTCTACGAAAATCGTATCAACTTTGACGAACAGAAAACACCCATTGTAAAGAACTCGAAAGATTTTGTAATAATTACGCGATAAATATATCTTGGAAGATATTAATAACTAGACTTTATTGTTAACTCTAATCTTGATTCGACCTTCGGAACTTAGACGTATTTATAACTAAGGTGAGAGAGCTTCGATGCATAGTAGCAGATTCGATAGATTTACAGAGAAATGTTTCGTCTTATATTACTTGCATTGATTTCATTCATAAGAGCAGGCGATGTAGATTTTCGCAAGGAGTACGATTACATTATTAGTGAGTATTATCAATAGAAAATATCATGTTTTGATATATTTATAAATATTATTTTAATGATACAAAATGATTTTTAAAGCATGAATTTAGAAGGAAAATATTGGGGGAAAAAAAAGTTTATTTAATGAAGGAATAATGAGTTAAGTGTTATACTTTTATTAAGAAAGAAACTTTAATTTTTCTATCCTATCAGATTCTACTTAGAAACTCAAATGACAAAAACCTATACCACTAAAATCAAAGACCAAATAGCTTAATTTCGAGTGTATAGATGAGTTTTATAATAATTTGTAGATGCTAATAACGAGTAAAATATTCATTAAATCCGACACCACTCGAGATATGGTACCGGTACACGACCCCTTCTATCTTCCCATTTCCTTGATCTTTAACCACCGAAATTTATTAGCAAACATGCCCCTAATATACAATGTTCCCTGCAAAATTTCAGAAATATTCGACAAAACACACAGGAGTTATTAAGCTTGAAAGTGAGTGAACAAAATAATGTCTTTCCCATACAAACTTTCAGAAAAATCCTCAACTTTTTTGCATTTCTTGGCCATACTCTTCCAGAAACACAAGAATATATATATAATATATAAAACAATAACTAGATCACTACATATTTATAGATTCAATGGTCTAGTTAATGTTTTATATCTTGATAAAAAGATAAAAGAATTCCAGCGTACAAACTAGTTTTTATAACGCAAGAGAACGATTTAAATATTCACAAGGAGTATGATTATATTGTTGTTAAGTACGAGTAATCAATTATAAATAAATTATTATAATACAATTTCAAAATTTATAACGTATTGGAAATTATAAGCCAAAAAGAGAAAAATTCATGTTCCACTTTCGGAATTAAACGACAAAATGACTACGTGGTGATAGAATACAATTTGTTTTTAATTAAAAATTTAGTTTATCATATCACTATCACATTTAAAAAAATTTAGTTTATCATATCACTATCACATTTAAATTGGGATACTCGCTGTTCTACCATGCTAATAAATTGAAATGATGGTGTAAATGTTACCGCTAAAGCTCGAAAGTCGTTAATGTGTACATTACCTAGCTAATCTGCAGATTAACTAGGGTGATGCGTTAAAGTTGCGAAAATTGTTCTATTTCTCAAATTACCTAGGTAGTGTGCAGATTATGTAGGTAATCTGCAAATTACCTACTTGGCACTCAGTAAAGTGAAAATAGATCTTTGCTGGACAACAGCAACGTTTCTGTACGCTTAAATTAACATAATGTTCTTTATTTAATTTTTGATATGTAAAGAATCAAGTTAATACAATCAAACAATCAACAAATTAGTTGATAGAATCGATCATCAACCAATTAAAAAACACAAAAAATCAAACGGTTTAAAATATTATTACAATTAGGGAAATTATTATATAGATTTCGATTATAGATACTTATGATTTCGATAGATTATAGATACCTATGGAATTTCGGGACTTTGAGTATCTATCTGAACTGAGGGGACCCTACTTTTGGACCGGAGACGAAAAATAATAAAGTTATCATACTTTTTCTGGTGATCGCATGATATAATTGAGCAATTAATGTTAC